CTCGAGCTGTGCGGGCCGCCAGTAATAACGACCGACCCTCCCCCGCTCCCTCTCTATTCCAGCCCGCATTATTGCCTCTAATATTACTGCGTCACCGCCTCCCGCGCTGCTAGGCCCCGGCCACCGCGATCAGGCAGGCCGCGGACCGCCCTCCCCCGTTACCACACTCCTGTTTACCTGAGGACATGATGGCGGCAACAGAGATCACCGAGCCTCGCACAAAATGTAGGCACCGCGCGCGGGGAAATCTATCGACTGTGTGTGTGTGTACGGCGAGGATGTCACCAGAGCGCGACGGCAGGAAGGCAGGCACGCTCACTCTAAAGGCAAAAGAGGCCGCGCACAGCGATGACGCAGGGTTAAAGAGGCGCGTGCTGAGGAGGGGGGGGGAGGGTCAACACGATGCGCGAGGCTGTGGGGCAACGGTACGCATGCGTGATAAGCGGCCAGTATAAAGCGCGATCAGTTTATTGTAATAACCCCGGGCGGCCAGCTAGGCCGCAGCCCTGGAAGTAGTGTGACCTGCGAGTCACAGCACATAAAGGGAACACGTTTCATGGTAGCTTGCAGTACTGCATTCATCCTGCTGTGCCGTGCTACTACATGGCACGAGGTCCACCACAGCTTTAACCCCTTAAGGACGGAGCCAAATGTAAACAAAACCTGGCATTTGCGCTACATGTCTGTCCAACCGTAATTCACCTCTTTCATAGTAAATGCACCCACCCTTATTATATATCATTTTATTCAGGGGAAACAGGGCTTCCATTTAATATCAAATATTTAGCTATGAAACATAATTTAATATGAAAAAAATGGGAGAAAATAAGTTTTTTTTGGATTTTTTTAGTTCTACATGACATTTTAACGGTCAATGTCATAATACTGTTTGCTTTTACTGCAATACACATATTTGTATTCAGCAAAGTCTCACGTGTAAGACAGTACCCCCTATGTACAGGTTTTATGGCGTTTTGGGAAGTTACAGGGTCAAATATAGCACGTTACATTTGAAATTGAAATTAGCCAGATTGGTTACGTTGCCTTTGAGACTGTATAGTAGCCCAGGAATGAAATTTACACCCATAATGGCATACCATTTGCAATAGTAGACAACCCAAGGTATTGCAAATGGGGTATGTCCAGTCTTTTTTAGTAACCATTTGGTCACAAACACTATCCAAAGTTAGCGTTAGTATCTGTTTGTGTGAAAAATGCAAAAAACGCCAATTTTGGCCAGTGTTTGTGACTAAGTGGCTACTAAAAAAGACTGGACATACCCCGTTTGCAATACCTTGGGTTGTCTACTATTGCAAATGGTATGCCATCATAGGGGTAATTTTCATTCTTGGGCTACCATAGGGTCTCAAAGGCAACGTAACCAATCTGGTGAATTTTAATGTGAAAAAAATGAAAAACAAGCCTTATATTTGACGCTGTAACTTTTGAAAACACCATAAAACCTGTACATGAGGGGTACTGTTGTACTCGGGAGACTTCGCTGAACACAAATATTTGTGTTTCAAAACAGTAAAAAGTATCACAGCAATAATATCGTCCGTGTAAGTGCTGTTTGTGCGTGAAAAATGCAAAAAAACTTCACTTTTACTGGCGATATCATCGTTGTAATACATTTTACTGTTTTGAAACACTAATATTTGTGTTCAGCGAAGTCTCCCGAGTAAAACAGTACCCCCCATGTACAGGTTTTATGTTGTGTTCAGCGAAGTCTCCCGAGTAAAACAGTACCCCCCATGTACAGGTTTTATGGTGTCTTGGAAAGTTATAGGATTAAATATAGTGCTATTAAATTCCCTATACTTTCGGCATGGGTTGTCAGGCAGGTCCCGCTAATAGTAATTAATTAAAATACCTAATTATTTAAAAATATTACATAAATTTATATGTAGAATTAATATATGTGTATATATATATATATATATATATATATATATATACACGTATGTGTGTGTATATATATATATATATATATATATATATAATTTAAAAATATATATTTTTATTTATATATAGGTATATATATATAGTGATATATACATATATATTTATGTATATAGATATATATATTATTTCGTTCTACGTGTGTTTTGATATAAATATATATATATATATATATAGTAATATCACAATACAGTTAGAACGAAATAACACACATCTATATATTTTTTATTTTTTTTTTATTATTTTTTAAATTTTATTTAACGTATTTACATATTTTTTTATATTATATATAAATATATATAACAATAATTATATATATATTTAATCAGTATCAGTTTACGTGTAATTTGATATTAATATATATATATATATATATATATATATATATAATTATATATATATTAATAGTAAAATACACCTAGACAGTGTATGTGTGTGTATGTATATGTGTATATATATATACTTAGATCATATATATATATACAATATATATATATATATTAAAAACAATAAAAGGCTGCGCAACTAAATTAAAGTCCAATATAAGTAAAATAAGGAATAGTCCAATTGGTTAGTTCTTACTGGTGTCCTTGATTGATGAGGTCTTCTATTTATTGTAGTGGTTTCACTTAATAAAAGATAAAAAGAGAAAAAGAAGGACAACCAATGGTGTAGTATGTAAAATTCAAGTCTAAAGATAAAAAAAAATTAGTATAAAACTTACATTTACCAGAGCTAATGTCCAGCTCTGGAGTGAAGCGCGTACAGCGGTTTAATCCCCGCTTATGGGATATGAGGCAGGTTCCTCTCCGTGAGTGGTATCCAATTCTCGGGATAAAACAAAAACAGCCAATAGTGCTCACTGTATGGCAGATAGTAATAAAAAATAAAAGAAATGTACTTACAAAGTAAGAGCAGACACACTGCTCTTTGATGATAGCTTAGGTGGATTGATCCCCACCTTACGGATTTCTTTGGGTACAGGAGACTTCCAGGAATTTTTAGGTTTCTTTTTTTTAAAACCAGTTTAAAAATAATAATAATAATAAAAAGGCCAGGGTTTAAAGAGAAAAGTATGTGTCTATAAAAAAGATAATTGGCACAAATAAATGACCAATAATACTTTAATATATATAAAAAACACAATATTCAAATATCCATAACGCGTTTCGTCACAAAAGGACTTTTTCAAATTCTACATCCCACATGGCGGACTTATGTCCCGTCGAACCAGATCCCACCACCTCCACTCCCACCCCTCACCCCACGTTCACACCTCACTCCTCTTTCACCCCTCACAACAAGCCAGCGGGTGGTCTCCGGGATAAGCTGGGTAGGCCCATCTCCTTTTTAGGTAAAGCACAGGTGTGCAATAATTTCAACGCAGGCTCCTGCAGTTTCAGCGCCTGTAGATTATTGCACATCTGCTCCATATGTTTCAGGGCACATACCAAGACCATGTGTCCAGCCAGGTTGTCACCAAATAAATGACTAACCGACATAAATATCGACAACCTGGTTTTTTATCTAAGGTCTCACCCCAGCAGGCACTTGGTGGATTTTCTCACCACAGGTTTCTCACAAGGGTTTCACACAGGCATAGTAGCCATTCCCCCAGGTACACTAGAATGTCCTAATCTCCAGTCTGCACGTTTAGACCCAGTCGCTGTAGACACTCTCATTTCAGCAGAAACCACAAACGGTTTCATGATCGGTCCTTTCACCTCTTCACCGTTTTCCTCCTGGCGCACTAACCCTATTGGTATTGCTATTCACAAATATTCTAATAAAAAACGTCTCATTATCGATTTATCGGCACCGCACTCCTCTTTTGTTCCAAGCATAAATGCACTCATTCCAGCAGACGAATTCTCACTGCAGTACGTCACCATCGACGACGCCATACAGTCCATCATGACATCTGGTAATCGACCCTGGCTCAGCAAAACAGACATCACTAATGCCTTTAAATTACTGCCCATACACCCCTCACTCTGGCACTTACACGGTGTTAAATGGCGAGGGTATTATTACTTCTCAACACGACTCACTTTCGGTTCTCGAAGCAGCCCCAAACTTTTCGACATTTTCGCAGAGTCACTATGCTGGCTGCTTCTGAACGTCATCAGGTGTCACTCCGTTATTCACTATCTAGACGACTTTCTACTGATAGAGCCAGGGTCATCAACACCCACAGCAATCAATAGTACTACCGCACTTTTTTCCACACTTGGAGTCCCTTTGTCCCCAGCCAAAACTATAGGACCCACAACAAAGTTGACCTTTTTAGGCATAGAGCTCGATTCTGTCAAACTCAGAGCTAGCCTTCCCCACGACAAACTTTCACGATTGAGAGGGGAGATAGACACGTTCCTGCGGAATGACGTTTGCACCAGGAGAGAACTTCAGTCCCTTCTTGGATCTCTGAACTTCGCCATGCGCATCATTCCGCAGGGAAGGTCTTTCATTTCCAGACTTCTTTGCCTGCTCCACGGAGTCCCGGACTCCGGCACAGTTTCTTTGGACCCCCACGCCAAAGCTGACTTAGCTATGTGGGGGAAGTTTTTGAAAGACTGGAATGGTATCTCCATGTTTATCTCCCCTCTCTCCACCTCTTCACCCATCATCCACACAGACGCAGCAGCCAACACCGGTTTCGCAGCCATTTTCGGGAACCACTGGTTTAGGGGCCACTGGCCCACTGAGACGGATGCCTTGCCAGGATTCAGGGAGACCTCAGCCCTATTTGAAATTTACCCCATTGTGGCGGCCGCACACACCTGGGGTCATCTCTGGTCCGGCAAGGCAGTAAAATGCTACTCAGATAACTCGGCAGCTTGCGATATCATTAACAAAGGGCGCTCATCATCCCTGACCATCATGCGGCTGATTCGCAAGTTGACCTGGCTGGCAGCATCCAATCAGTTTCACTTAGTATGTTCTCACATCCCGGGTATTCACAACACCGCCGCTGACGCTCTTTCTCGTTCTCGATTCCAGGCATTTTCTCAGGCACTCCCAGCGGCTCACCAACAGCCATCCAGGACACCACGGTTTCACGAACTAATATTGGATTAAGCACACTCTTGCTTCACTCTAGATCACTCACTCACCAAGCATTATCACCCAACACTGCTATCACTTACAATAGGGCACTTAACATATTTAACAAATTCACTGCAGAATTCGGGCTACAAGGTGACTTTTCTATCCAAACCATGGTGTATTTTGCCTCTTTCTGCCACCTACACCTTAATCTGTCACACAACACCATTAAACTTTACCTCACCGGGGTTCAGCACCACAGCCTCACCAATTTTCCTAACAGCACTCCTTTTTTGTCTTCATACCCCATTAAAAAGGTCTTGAAAGGTAT